AGTGAGAGAGATGTATGTGTATGTATGTATAAACGTATATATTTTATTTGAAGTTTCGTTCTTTTAAAAATTAAAATCGAGAATTAAGTTTATTTAATTTTAGTTTAAATTGTGGCTTGTTGGTTAAGGTACATGGCATTGCTATTTGTTGCTGTTGCTGTTGTTGTTGCTGTTGATGTTGTTGCTGCTGCTGTTGTTGTTGTTGTTGTTATCTCTGAGGAATAATAAAGAGAGAAATATATAGAACTAATTATATATTAAATATATTATTATAAATGGATATTTTTTTAGGGAGGTACCTAGCAGTGGTACCATGGTAACGTTTTCACAGTTCTTGTTCATTACTGTTGAAGGATTTTTGAGGACTACGAAGATGGGAACTGTCCGTAATGTCATTCCCATTAGGTCGTTATTGTTGTTGTTTTGTTGTTATTATTATTATTGTTATTATCAACAACCCAACTCTATCTATCCCCCAATAAAAGATCATATATAGTGATGGTAACGTTGTTTTTCATGACGAGTGTCGTCAACAACTATGCATTCGCTTTCAAGATATCCATGCCTCTGCATCTTATTTTTAGATCGGTTTGTATGTTTGTCTGTTTGTTTGTATGTTTGTTTGTATGATTGTTTGTATGTTTGTTTGTATGCTTGTTTGTATTTTTAAATGTGCTGATTATTTTGTATGTTTTTTCTCATTAATTATTGAATGTATCAATTAAAATAATATTTGCATTCAGGGTTCATTGATGGCTAATCTGGTTCTTGGAATTATTCTTCTTAAGAAAAGGTTATGTTTGTGGTTAATGGATTGAAGGATTGATTGATTGATTGTCTGGCTGACTTGTTGACTGACTGATGGTTGGTTAATTGTCTGATTGGTCGAATGGTTACATATTACATCAATCATTCAATCAATCTATCAACCAATCAATCATTCAATCAATCAATCACTCCATCAATCAATCAATCATTTTACCAATCATTTAACCAGGTATCACATGAGCAAGTATGTATCAGTGGCGATGATAACAGCCGGCATAATAGTGGCTACATTGGCTTCTGTTGCAGACACGGTTGATTGTTGTGGCTGGTGATGATGATGATGATTATTAATAATGATGATGATGATGGTTGCTGTTGATGATGATAATGATGACGGTGATGATGATCGTTTTTTGTTCCCTTTTTCACTAGATGATCAGTTTTTATTTTCTTCTTCATTCTTTGTATCACAATTACAATCATCGTTATCATTATTATCAACATCGTCGTCGTCGTCTTCATCATCGTCATCATCTTCATCATCGTCATCATCTTCCCTCTAGAAATCAACAACAGATAATCACGATGATGATATGGTTAACTTTATGCATTGGATTTTTGGTTAGTCTCACTGATAATGATGATGGTGATGACGATGATGATGAAGACGACGAGGATGATGATGACGACGACGATGATGATTACAGGCATTGTGACCTTGACCGTCGCCCTCTTCATGTCGGCCTTGATGGGTCTCTACCAGGAAAATGTCTACCGGAGTTATGGGAAGCACCCAGATGAGGCCCTCTTCTATAATGTTGGTCGCATGGTGGTGGTTGTATGGTGATAATGGTGATCAGGTTGGTGGGGATGAACATTTATTCTTTATTCGTCAACCAATAACAAACGATCTTTCAAATTCATCACCCAATCACGGTTTAAAAGTTTTTAACCGAGCACCAGCAGCCAATCACGAACGTTCTTCTAAAGTTTTCAACCAATCAAAATCATCCTCACATACAGCATGCCCTCCCTTTGCCGTTCTTCTTGCTATTTTACAAGGACTTGTATCAACACGTGCTCATCTTTAATAACTCCGATATACAGAGTCTGTTGGTTGTATGCGCGTTTGTTTGTTTGTATATATTTGTTTGTGTTCTTTGTATTGTTGCGGTTGCGTTTGATGATGAGAACACCGAACCAGAAGAGCAGTGAGCGGGAAAAGAAAAGAATAGTATTCGTTTGGATAGGCTGGACACGTGTTTCATCCCCACCGGGGACTCATCAGCAGCCCGAATACCTATCAGAATAGTTATCGCAGTTTCTTATAAAGCCCGCACAAATCAACTCCTTATTTCGTGGTGTTTTATTTATTAGTCTTTTTAATCGCTAGGATTTTCAATCCGACAGTATTTATGAATGTTTATGAATGGTTTTTTTTTAATTTGTTTATATAAAATTCGGTTAACTTCATTAAACAACCAATCATTTAATTTCATTCAAATCACCCATCATTCAACTGACCAATAGCGTTGAGGCACCAATCAAATTACCCCATCATTTTTATAGTTTATAAAAACCTGTCAATCAAAATTAAACGAACTAATCACAGATTATTTCATCCCTGAAATACTTCCCATTCCAATTCACTGGCTCTACATAATGGGCAATATGATCACGCAGTATGTTCTATATTTAGAATTATTCGTATTTATGTTTATTTATGCAGACCACATCATGTACACACACAAACATACAAACACACACACACGTACACACATCATATACACACACAAACATACACACATCATATACAAACACACACATCACATACACACACAACGTATACACGCCACGACAGATACCTCTGTATAAAGTCAGTCTTCATCCTTACCGCGGAGTGTCCCTCCCTGACGGTCACTCTGGTCGTCACCCTCCGCAAGTTCATCTCCCTCCTCTTCTCCATCATCTACTTCGGCAACCGATTCACGGCACATCACTGGTTAGGTACATCCCTAGTTTTTGCCGGAACTCTGCTGTTTACTGAAGTTTTCGGCAACATTTACCAGTATACCTTGAAGAAAAGAGATGTTGTTTCAAGGAGAGAGAGTGAGCAGGAAAAGAGAGGAGGAGTGAGGACGATGAAAGGAAGGAAAATGAAGGACAGTGATGATGATGAATGTGAGGGTGACGATGTTAAGAGGGGTAGAAAGGGTCTAGATGGAATCAAAAAGGGTCATAGCGTTAATGGGCCGTCCTGAATGGCCCAACATTGAATAGGAAATATATTTATTTGGGAGTGTATCTGTGTGTGTGCGTGCGTTGCTTTCGTTCATTTTTGAATATTTAGTTAATGATTTTACCGATTTTATAGCGGTAAATTTTATTTAATTCATCCGTATTATTTATTGCATTATTTTTCAAGCGTAAAATCTGCCAGTGAACACTATTCAGTCATATTGTAATGTAAGTCGGTCGCCATACCACCGATTTTGTTTCTTTTTTTAGTTTATTCATTGATTGATTCATTGATTCATTCATCCACATTAACTTATTCAATATTTGTTCATTTATATGCTACTGGCGTTCATTCACTCATTAATTCATTAACTCATTCATTAATCACCGTCAATATCCATTTATTCACTCATTCATTTTTTATTCATTTGTTTATCATTTTTTCGTTCTTCCATTCAATTACATTTGGGATATAAACAAAAAACAAGTAAATTAGATTTCATAAACACATATACTTCCTATTTTAATTAATAATAACGACAAAACGAATAAAATTGAAACAAAGTTGGCTAAAATTAGATAAAATATTCATCCAGCAAAATAATGTACTTATTCCCATTCAAATCACCCCAAAATCGCCCCAGACAGACAAGTAAGTAATAATATAGCCACACATAAATTAATGAATGACGAACAAGCAGATATGTACTCCCAAATACATTAACACATACATACACACACACACACACACACACATACAATACTCAAAAATAACTTAGGGATCAATAAACAAGGAAAATGCAAATGCGTATTTAAAATAAATTTTAAAATCTACCGAAAAACACATCAAATAATGATCAAATAAGAATAAAAACCAACTCAAACAAACAAAAAAAACATAGTAAACTGAAAATCCTCAATAAACAACCTTAAATGAAAGAAAAACAAAACCAATACATCGGCTCATCTCCGTCACCAGCCCATCATCGTCATAACAATCGTCCGACAACTCCTAATTTTGATCAATCAATCA